AACAACAACCTCGCTTTGCAACCCACCCTATTCGAAACACGCCAGCGCTTCTGAGCCACAGCTGGTTGATCCAACGCACCATTCACAACAACCGGTCCATGCCTAGCCTGCGCGAACAAACCAACAAGTTTTTTACAAAATCACCCTCCCTATTCTTACGCACCAAACTACGACGTACGTCAAAACCAACAAGAGACACATACTGATGATAAAAAAACAATACCGTGAGCGAGAGAAAGAAAAGCCTGCTCCTCAAAAGGCCTAACCGCCTCGTCACACGAAGGCGTCCAGTACTTAGTTCCATCGGGAGACACGTCCATAACACAACCTTGTAGCGATTCCGAGCGTACTGCACAACCATCAAACAAAAATACAGACATAAACAAAAAAAACAAACAATTAAAACCAACATGCACCACATACAAACAGTAAAAAAAAAAAAATTAACACACTGATTGCACACTTCAAATGACAACACAAGCACATTACGAAGTAAGCACCCCCAACCACAAACCTTCAAACAAATACGATAAAAACAAATAAAACACACAGGTAACACACCATGAAAAAAGAACGTTAACATAATTTAAGGCCTAAAAAAAACGGAATACTAAAATTAAAAACGAAACAAAACACCCAATGAATAAGATTGGGCAAAAAAAAAAAATACAATGCAAAGAACATGTACTAGGTATTGCACAAAACTACAATTAGAATAAATACACAAAACACAAACAGCACATACAACCCATGTTGTTAAACCAACAACGAAACACGCATAAATTAGCAATAAAATTTATAAACGAAAAACAGGAGCCAATGGAACTGAATAAAAAAAAAAAAGAAAATGAGAATTACAACAACCAAATAATATATATTGCATAAGACATAATTGACAACTACTAACGGGAACAAAAAACCCCATCACTACGACAAACACTAGTCCAACGACCAAAAACAACGATTAAAACAGATAAATTAAAACCCCATAAACAACGCCAATACACAACACCTACAACGCATATCTTACACATGAGCACATAATTATACACAAAACCAATAATAACTGATGCTCAATAAATATATACTAGAAACAAACGAAAACACCAACCTGGAGAATCCATAACCCTTTGCACAGAGAATGCCACAAAAAATGAATAAGGGAGTTTGTAAACTTTGGAACAACACAAACAAAAACCACAGAAAACTACAAAGTATATAAAGAGGTACGCTGAATTAGAATATAAATGAACAATATCTTAATTTACCATATTTAATACACCTAAAAAAAGCAAATCATCTGAAAAAACAATCCCAAAAAATAGGAAAAAAAATGCAAAGACTATAAAGCCCTTAAATCAATCACCCGGCAAAAAAGAAATAAATAAAACCAAAAAGAGCCGAAAAAACATGAACTATAGATCAAAGCACAATCAAAGGCCAGATTCTGTCCACATACCACATGTGGGAACATGACCTCATATGATCCTCTACATATATATATATATATATATATATATATATATATATATATATATATATATATATATATATATATATATATATATAGGTAGATGCTCATATGCGGCTGTGCTCTTAGGTGAGGCGGTGAGGTTATATCCTAGTCGTTGATCAATTCTAATCTAACGGCAGCGGCACATTATTTGAATTAAGTAAAGTTTTTCGCGCTTTTGGTAAGTGGGGGCGTTTCAGTAATTTCATTGGATGGGACGTGCATGTATATAAGCTGTTTTATTTTGTCTAACTTTTAAGCGCTGAGAGAGAGAGATCAAGACCTCGTTTGTGATCGCGTCGTAATTGGGAGAAGATCAATATCGCGATCGTGATTGCGTCGCAATTGAGAGAATATCGCAGTTCGGAGAATATTGAAATTGAGCGATGATGCCTGGTATGTTTGACTTGCTTATGTTTGTAGTTTTAATTTGTCTTTTATTATTATGTGTTTGTTGTGATTTGGAAGTTTATCGCCTGTTTTTATCTGGTTTTGCGGGGTATCGGTGTTGACTATGTTGTTGTGTGTTGTTTTGTGATTACGGTGTACTTTTTGTCTACTCGTGGTGCATATATTATTTGTTGGTGTGACTGGCAGTATTAGATTTTATGCATGTGTAATGCGCATGTAGGTAGGGTTATTCATGTGGTATTGGATAAGGTGTGGTGATTTATTAGTTAACATGTGGTGTGCAGCTATTGATTTGGAATCTTTTGGTATTTGCGATAAACATAATTCAACTGATGTTTGTGGAGAAGGCAGTGGTGGTGTTTGTGATGAAGGTAATCCCACTGATGTTGGTGTAGAATGCAGTGGTGATGGTTGCGATGAAGGTAATGTGACTGATGTTGGTGTAGGAGGCAGTGGTGTGGGTTGTGATGAAGATTATTTGACCGATGTGGGTGTACAAGGCAGCTCATGTGTGTTGGAAATTTCTCCTGGGTTGACTAAGTATTGGCGCCCAGTCTGTGCTGACAATTTGAAGCCTATCGTTGGGCAACAGTTTGTTTCCTTGGATGGTGCTATTATTTTTTTATAAACAATATGCTGGGAGTGTTGGGTTTGATTGTAGGCAGCACTCAATTCGGAAGAATAGGGATGGTGTTGCTGTGGAGAAGCATTTAGTATGTAATCGTCAGGGTTTTAAGCAGAGGGTTTCTAGTGTTGCTAAAACTACTTTGGTGAGGAGACGGAGGATGACAAATAGGGTTGGTTGTAAGGCTAAGGTTGTGATAAAGCTTAAGTCTAATGGTTTGTATGTTGTGCATTTTTTTGAGGAACGTCACACCCATTCGTTGTGTTCAATTATTGCTAGGCAATTTTTAAGGTGAATCGTAGCCTTGATGCTGGGCACCAAATGTTTATTGCGAGTTGTGCTCGGGCAAATATTGGCTATGTTCGGTCATATAGGTTGTTTAAAGAGATTGTTGGTGAGTATTCCAATGTTGGGGCTACAGGTGTGGATTTTAAGAATTTCAGGCGTGACCTGATGGCGTACATTCTAAATGGTGATGCTCAATTATTCATAGATACGCTTTTCAAGAGACGTGAATTGTGTGAGGCGTTTGATTTTGAATATGATATTGATGAAGTTGATCAGATTTCAAGGGTTTTTTGGGCGGATGCAGTATCTAGGTAGAATTTTGCTTTGTTTGGTGATGTTGTTTCATTCGATGCTACATACCGTACTAACATGTTAGTATTTATTTTTATTTTGTGCATGTTGTATATTTCTGTGGTGCATGATTACATGCCTTATGGTGTGTCTTGTTAGAAGTATGGTGTTAACTGATTGCTGTGTTGTAGGTATAAGTTGGTTTTTGTTCCGTTTACTGGAATTGATAACCATAAGAGATCCATCACCTTTGGTGCTGGTTTGCTTACGAGGGAAGACGTAAACTTATATGTGTGGCTTTTGGAGAAATTTAAGAAAACTATGTGTCATGACCCTATTTGTGTTGTTACTGATCAAGATCCAGCTCTCAAGGTTGCTGTTGCTCGTGTGTTTGGTACATCAAAACATAGATTTTGCATGTGGCATATAATGTGCAAGGTTGGTGAGAAGGTTGGACCGGTTTTGTCTAAAGATGAAGTGTTTAGGAGGAAGTTGAATGACATCGTTTGGAACAAATCTCTGGACTCCAAGTCTTTTGAGGATGCATGGAGTTGTATTATGGAGGAATATGGTTGGGTGATAATGGTTGGTTTCGTTACTTGTTTGAGTCTCGTACATTTTGGGCATCCCCATATTTTCACGACGAGTTTATGTCAGGATAGTCTCAAAATAGTTTTTTTTGGTATGTTCTCTAATGGTCATTCTAGTTTGGTTGAGTTCTTGGTGCATTTTAGAAGTACTATTGGTGCGCAGCGTCATGCACAAGCAAAATTGAATGCTGATTGTGAATCTTGTTTTCTTGTTTTGAAGACACCATTGGCTTTGGAGAAGCATGCAATGGATGTTTACACCATTTCTGTATTTTATGATGTTCAAGTAGACATTTGTGCAGCTTGTTATTCGTGTCAATTGGTGTCTTTGTGCGATTGTGATGGTCATGTGTGGAGCTAGTCTTGTCTGATTACACTGCTACTTGTTCTTGCAAGATGTTTGAGCGGATAGGGTTGTTGTGTAGGCATTTTTTTTTTTAAGATCGTGGGCTTGAGAGTATTCCTTCTAGGTATTTGGTGTCTCGGTGCACAAAGGGTGCTTGTTTGAAGCCAATATTTCATATTGGTGATACAATTGTTGATCAATCTTCTAAAGTGGAGAACGTTAGGATTTTTACTAGTCTATTTTGTTCTGACATATATGCTTGTGTGGGTTTGGCTGATGGTAATATAGAACATTTGACACAGCTACGACGTGTTATTTGTGAGCAAAGACAATTATTTCTCCAAGATGGTAGTGAGAATGGCAGTGGGGTGGTGGCTAGTGGCAGCAAACAAAGTGTGATCAATTCATTTTGTGGAGATGTGTCTCAGGGGTCAACAGTGGAGGTGCGTGATCCTATTCAAGCTAAGAACAAGGGTAGCGGTAAGCGGTTGAAGAGTACAAGGGAGAAAGCTGCCAGTAAGTGTGTAAAACAATCAAGGAAATGCCATACTTGTGATGAATATGGTCATAATAGTAGGACATGCCCTTTAAATGGTTAGATACAGTTGTGCAGTTGATTTTGGACCTATATATTTTCACAGTTGCGCACACTTCTTATAACATACAATTATGCATTTTATTACAGTACTTGGTGCGTTTTAATACATAATGTGGTGCTTTTAAGTACGTTGAATGTTTTTGTGTTTGGAATGATGTGTTTTATTCCGTATTGTGGTGCATTTTTATATGTAGAATTATGTTGGCTGTTAATTATTGTGTGGTGCATTTTATTTCATCTGTTGGTGAATCTTACAAGTAACAAGTGGAATTGTGCATGTTATTTTTATAATGGTGTTTTTGGTGGTGTCTTTTAAAAATGAAGATTATGCATGATAATACTGCATTTATAGCGATGCAAATGGGTTAGGCCTTCACAAGTACCCATCACAAAATATAGAGTGTCTAGTAGTCATATGGTCTACGCCATGCCATCACAAAAACTTTTTACATGTTTGAAAGCCTCCTTAAACCCCAAACTCTGCTGCCTGCTGTATGTTTATTTCTCTCAGTTCGTTCACATCTGAGGTGATCAAGGCAGCCAAGTATCTCACTCTTAGCTTGTTCAATTGTTCTTTGTTGTTTCTCTGCAATCCACAATCCCATTCTTCAGTTGTCTGTCCACGGAAGGTTTCCAAATGGCGCATTAAAAAGATGCCACAATCCTTTTTGTTATGTGCATCTCTCCATGGCATTTTCATTATCTTAGACTTCAGCTTCTTCACCTTTTCACCTTTGTACGCAGATTTCTGCTCGATCAACATCTTTGAAAAGAATTTTTGTTGCATCAAGGAATTGTACAGTAATATAATCTTAGTTTTTTGTGTCTTTGTGTATTAAATATATATAGTCAGGTAGTGCTCAGTGGGTTACCAAATTGTCAAGCACATATCCGTATTTGTTCTGTTTCTTCACAGGTGCTGAAGAGTTGTCAATGATGTCAAACATTTCCATTATTGGGCTAACAGACAGCAGGTAGTAGTGGTTGGATGCCACTATGGGAAACAAAAACTGTCATAACAAAAACACACATGTGTCATAATATACACCATAATATGATTAATAATTCACCACAAATAGGCAAATACTAGAATGTACAAATTGATGTATAACAAATAGGCAACTATTATATGTATATTAACATCTTACGTATACAATCTTGTGCCACATGATGTCTACAACAATCGCCTTGACTTGAAGGTACTTTTCTTTGAATCTCATAAATCTCAAATCTTCATCTCCCTGCGGGTTCACAATTGTGTACAGCTGCAAAGTTCAATTATATGCTTGTTAGAACTTTAGGGGTTTTAAAGGAGTAGTTAGTTTTATATTTTTTGCTTACACTTGTCCATGTTGAAGCAATGAATTTTGTAGAACCTCTTTCTCCTTCACGAATGTTTAGTATGGCTGCCCAAGCATCAATTATAGAGACTGGAATCTCTGTATCTGGCGCCATTAATAGCATATCTCTCCAGTAGATTACTCTTCCTTCATACCTGAATAATTCCTGCTCACTGGTAATAACGTATTGTATAAGCAACAAAAATATTAATACATCAACATTATTAAAACATACACCAAAGATATATTAGTAACACACCATTAGAAGTTAATATTTCATTTAACGAGAATACACCAACATATATAGAGATATACACTAATAACTATTGAGTAACACACAACACATAAGCAACTAATGTGACCACCCGATGTGGAAGCACAAACAATCATATAAACACACCAATAGTTATGGAATAATGCACTAGTTAATATATGATATTTATACACCAATATTATAATACAAAGCACCAAATATATTTTAGAAATACACCAAGTTTAGAATGTGTTGTGCTTACAGTTCTGGGTTAGGGTTTTCTAATACCCATTGTCTGATTGATTCCTCTGTTGAAGTTATTGGGGCTTCCAGATCAGTTGCATATATGCGGTCTTTAGGTCTGATTGGGTTGTTCCCTCTAGCTAGTCTCTTCCCTTTGTCTAATGGTTAGGGTGGGGGTGGTGGATCTGAACCAGGACCCTCTTGACATTGGTCTGTTGGTGTGACCTGTAACATTCAAGTTTTATTTATTTTTTCTTTTTTTTTCTGTCGTCAATTTAATATAGTGCATTACCTCATCATTGTTGTTACCAGGTGCATCTGGTTGAGCCTCCTGCCCATCTTGTTGACTTTCAGTTGCTTCTTGACCCTCATTAATATTCAGCTCAACTTCTTCATTTTCCATAGCCTGATCAATGTTTTGGTAGTCTCGTGCAATATCATTCATGTCCGTCCAACGTCTATTTTGTTCATCTGGTGTCAATCCCAGGCTGAAAGATGGCATATCATTTAGAAAATTTCTCTTGTTTACTGCACGGACAATCTCACCTACCGCTCTTAAGAACTCAGGGTCACTCCAGTAGGCATCTTCTCTCTGAGTAAATATCAGTTCTCCATCATCTTGTGCTCTGAATCCAAGCATTTGCCTAGCAGATTCAAACATCTGCTTGAATGTGTCATACTCCAATACTGCTGCAGGTGCATTCTCAATTAGCCTTGATATTCTCAGTAGACTCTGTGCAATTGACCTAGTGTGGGTGGTAATCTCATCAACAAACTCATGTATATGAAACACTTTAGTATAAACACACCAATATATATTGTAGTATGCACCATTTATTTCTAAAAAGTACACCACAGTCAGATTATGCACCATATTACACACAAAATGCACCAATTACCATTGCAGTGTTTGGTTTACCTGTAATCCTTGTGGCAGTGGTGGGGTCTCTTCTTGTGGTGGTGGTGGGGGTGGGGCTTCACAATGTGTTGTGATCTCCAGTGGTAAGGCAGTATCAACACGTCCATATCCAAATCCTACAGACTTGAGCTCATCCTGTTGTCGTTGACGGAGCAGCTTAAATGTCCAGTTATTCATGGCAGGGTAGCTTCTTGGGACAACCCTCCGGTAGAGCACCACACGGTCAACATAGAATACTTGCATTTGGTAGTTTAGATTACTAATAGGTTGATGTGTAATTAATTACAAGCTTGTTGAGTGTCTATTTACCGTTAGGAAAACAATTGGTCCTCCAAACCTTCCATCACAGCTTTCCAGCCATGCCTTCTTGCTTGCGATGAGTGAATTGATGAGCATTTTACACCAATTGAGCATCTTGATGTTGTCAACTTGACGCAAGTTGTCAATGTAGTTTTGGTTCACACAACCATTTACCTGTGGCTCCACCAACACAGACATAACAAGTAGTGCAAAATGCCGTTTGAACCAAGGGTCAGCAGCTCTCAATGTCAGCATTTTTTTAGACATTTTGTATGGGGTGATGTGGCCGTCAGCCCTTCCAAAGATTTTTCTCCAGTCTGTCAGGAGATCAGATACTGCTGTACTTTCCCTCTTAGTGATTTCTATATCTCCAAGCGGCAGTCCCAATGTCACAGCAACATCTTCTTCTGTGATCTGTAGTCTTTGGCCATTTTGCAGATTCAATGTGTTGCTCCTTGCGTCATAGTTTTCAACTAGCCACATCCCCAATTTCCTTGGAAGGTTTGTGATTTTGAGGTCAAGAATCCTTCCCAGCCCAATGTCTTTTATACTCTGGGGTTGTTGATTGGTTAGGGCTTTAATGGGTTTTGTTAGCTGTGTTGGCAGGGGCCTTATCTTTAGGTCAGTCTCTTCATTCTCTTGCTCCAATGTGTCTATCTCATCAGCTGAGCTATCATCAACTTCTTGTTCATGCACTTCTTCATCTGTTTCTGTATCATCTTCCATTCTCTCAAGGAATGTCATTGCTTCCTGCTTTCTCTGCTGTTTTGGCCTTGACGAGTCTCCGTGTTCTAATACCTTTCTTTTGTTGTCTGCATGAAATATTTGAAATTATTCTAAATATGCACTGTTTACAAATTACAAATTCCAAAACACCAACAAAAGAAATATAGACTACACTCATGTTGATCCTGTACAAAAACAACATGCAATGAGGTGCACTAGTCTGAAATGTCCAAAAATACACAGATGGTAGGATAAACATACACTATGCGTAAAAATTAAACACATAACAACCTTTTTTTTTTTTATCAATATTCAAGTTCCAAATTTCAGAAAACACCAATAATAAACGATATATACACTACATTGATGTTCATCATAAACAAACAACACGCAATGAGATGCCCTAGCCTGTAATGCTAAAAAATACACCGACTGTAGGATAAACATGCACAGTGTACAAAAATTAAACTCACAACAAGTTTTTCCCCAATATTCGAGTTCCAAATTTCAGAAAACACCAATAATAAACGATATATACACCACATTCATGTTTATCATAAACAAACAACACGCTGAGATGCCCTAGCATGAAATACTCAGAAATACACCGACGGTAGGATAAACATGCACTGTGTACAAAAATTAAACACACAACAGCTTTTTCTCCAATATTGATATTACAAATTCCAGAAAACACCAATAATAAATGAATTATACACTACATTAATGTTCATAATGCACAAAGAACATGCAATGAGGTGCCCTAGTCTGAAATGCTCAAAAAAATACACCGATGGTAGGGTAAAGATGTTATTTTACACATTTAAGTCAAATATTCCAGAATACACTAATAATAAACGAAATATACCCTTGCATGCTCGTTGTTTGCCTTTGTTCACCATTTTTGTGTTTTGTAGTGGAGCGGTGTTGTAGTATAAGCTTCGTGTTCCCTTAGAACGCTGTGGTGCGTTCGACTCTAGCCTTTTCGCTGTTCGTCGTTGCAGTCGTTCGTCTAGGCTTCGTCACCGGAGCGGGAGTAAGTTGAAGAGGTTTCACACTTTGGGATTGTGAATATGTAGATGGGACGGGTGTTACTTGCAGAAGTGGAGAAGAGATGATTTTGAATTGAATTAATGGACAAATTTTCCCTCCTAAGCCGCGGTGATGTATAAGTGTAGCGCGCAATCAGTAACAATTATGGTGCGTTAGATTAGAATTGATCAACGGCTGGGATATAACCTCACCGCCTCACCTAAGAGCATAGCCGCATCTGATCTTATATATATATATATATATATATATATATATATATATATTATATTCTCCCAATTCATCAATTTCCTAATTTTGTCATTTATATATTTTCCCTATTATTAAACTTCTATAATTCTCCATTTTTGATTATTCGTTTCCACATTATTCCACTATATTCTTGACAAATGGTATCAGAGCGGTTTAATTGAGAATTATTTTCAAAGATGTCGACTTTTACCAAGTTCGACATCGAGAAGTTCGACGGGAAAATTAGCTTCTCTATCTGGAAGGTTCATATGGAAGTTGTTCTAACTCAGAACGGTTTGAAGAAAGCGCTTGCTAGGAAGAAGAAGAAACCGACTACAATGACAGATGAAGGTTGGGAAGATTTGGATGACAAGGCACGTTCAACCATTCTTTTGTGCCTGTCTAAAGAGGTTCTACGTGAGGTGCTAAGTGAGACGACGGCGTCAGAATTATGATCCAAGCTGGATACTCTTTACATAGCCAAATCTTTGGCGAACACGCTAAAACTGAAGGAGCCTCGATCTGTACACAATTCGTATGACGTAAGGTACTTCTATTAAATCTCACTTGGATGAATTCAATTATATTGTATTGGACTTGGGGAATATTGATGTCATAATTGAAGATGAGGATCGTGTTGTTTTATTGCTTGCCTCTCTCCCTAAATCATACAAGCATTTCAAAGAAGAGTAAATACCACCTATGGTCCCTCGAGTTTGGTGGCATCGCCATCAATGGTCCCTAACTTCCGTAATTACCATCCGTCATCCTCTGAGTTGTCAAAAGTTACCTTCTAGCGTCCTTCCGTTACTTCCTCCCGTCTCAGCCGTCAAAATGGAAGGTAATATTGTCATTTGACTTATACGAAAAGAGTTAATACCAACCAAGGTCCCTCGAGTTTGGTGGTTTGTCCATCTTTAGTCCCAAGTTTCCATATTCCATTATTTTCCTTCTTTCATATTCTCTTCTTCAAATGTATTATCATTACTATTATTTATAGTTATTATTAAATTCTTATTATTATTACTATTATTTAAAGTTATTATTGTTATTATTAAATTATTATTATTATTAAATTATTATTATTATTATTGTTATTGTTATAATTATATTATTAGCATTAAATTATTATTATTATTATTATTATTATTATTGTTGTTGTTGTTGTTGTTGTTATTATTATTATAATATTCATATTCATATTATTATTATTATTATTATTGTTATTGTTATTATTAAATTATTATTATTATTATTATTATTATTATTATTATTATTATTATTATTTATTGTTATTATTATTTTTTTAAATTATTATTATTATTATTATTATTATTATTATTGTTGTTGTTGTTGTTGTTATTGTTATTGTTGTTGTTGTTTTTGTTTTTGTAGAAATGTACAAATGCTATTATTATTATTATTATTATTATTATTATTATTGTTATTGTTATTGTTATTATTATTAAATTATTATTATTATTACTATTATTTATTGTTATTACTATTATTATTAAATTATTAAATTATTATTATTGTTGTTGTTGTTGTAGAAATGTGCAAATGCTATATCGGATGAGTGTATTTAATAAAATCAGAAAATTAGAGAAATAAAAATCTGGAGGAATGAAAAAATGGAAAACTGAAAAAATGGAGAAGGAAAACTGGAAAAATGGAGAAGGAAAACTGGAAAAATGGAGAAAGAAAACAGGAGAAATGGAGAAATGGAGAAATGGAAAACTGGAAATGAAAAAACAGATAAATGAAGTAAACGACCCCTATACATTTGTAAATTTTCTTTAATATTGTATAGGAGAAGAGGGAGTTCGAGTTGGAAGTTGAGAAACCACCAACTTTCTTTAATATTGTCTGGCCAAGTTTGGGACTAAAGATGGCCAAACCACCAAACTCGAGAGACCTTGGTTGGTATTAACTCTTTTCGTATAAGTCAAATGACAATATTACCCTCCATTTTGACGGCTAAGACGGGAGGAAGTAACGGAAAGACGCTAGAAGGTAACTTTTCACAACTCGGAGGATGACGGATGGTAATTACGGAAGTTAGGGACCATTGATGGCGATGCCACCAAACTCGATGGACCATAGGTGGTATTTACTCTTTCAAAGAAATTATGATGTATGGTAATAGTAGTGATACCCTTACTTTCGACAATGTTAAGTCAAACTTATTGTCCAAAGAAAAGTTTGACTTTGAAATTAAGTCTGAGGACAAAAGTGAAGGTTTGACTGCAAGGGGTCGCTCACTTGAAACAGAGAGTAGCAATAAAAAATCTAGATCCAAGTCCAAAGGACGTAAGTCCAACATATCTTGTAAGTACTGCAAGAAGCATGGTCATGATGTGACTGAATGCTTCAAGCTGAGAAACAAGCAAGAGAGAGAAAAGAAGTCCGTTGAAGCTAGTGTTGTTGAAAGTGATTCAGAAGGCGATATTATGTTATCTGTTAGCTCCTGTTGCAAACGGAGCGAAACCGAGTTGATTATAGATTCTGGTTGTACATTCCACATGTGTCCTCACAAAGACTGGTTCGTTTCTCTGGAACCGGTTGATGGTGATGAAGTTGTCTTGATGGGTAAATGATACCCAATGCAAGGTTAGTGAAATTGAAAGTGTGCAGATTGAAACTCATGATAACGTTGTCAGGACTCTTAATAATGTTCGGTATATTCCTTATTTGAAACGCAATATGATATCATTGGGCGCCTTGGAATCTCTTGGGTGCAAGTACATAGCTGAAGGTGGAGTTCTGAAGGTCATAAAGGCTCTCTTGTTCTCATGAAAGCTTTTCGTTCTGGAAGCTTGTACGTGTTGCATGGCAGTACTGTGATAGGTTCACTAGCGGTATCCTCATCGATGTCTGATGCGGATTTCACTTAATTATGGCATATGCGTCTGGGCATATGAGTGAGAAAGACATGCATCTCCTGAACAAGAAAGGTCTCCTTAGTGAATTGGGTATGGGTATATTACAATTTTGCGAGCATTGTGTTTTTGGGAAACAAAAGAGGCTTAGTTTCTCTACTGATACACACCGTACCAAAGATGTATTGGAATATATACATTCCGATTTATGAGGACTGACTAAATTCCAGTCTATGGGAGGTTATAGATATTTTATGTCTATTATTGATGACTTTTTCCGTAAAGTCTAGGTTTATTTCCTGAAACACAAAAATCAGGCATTTTCTATATATTTTAAAAAGTGGAAAATACTTATTGAGACTCAGACAGGGAAAAAGGTCAAGAAGCTCAGGACAGACAATGGCTTGGAGTTCTGTGAGTCAGATTTCAACGACTTCTGTGAGGCAAATGGAATTGCCAGGCACAAGACCTTGCCTGGTAACCCCAGCAGAATGGTGTTGCCAAACGTATGAACAGGACTCTGTTAGAGAGAGCTTGTTGTATGCTCACTAATGCTGGGTTATGGAAATTGCGTGATTTTTGGGCCGAGACCGTTTCTACTACTGGCTATTTGGTACATAGATCTCTACATTCATCCCTTGATTTCAAAATTCCATAGGAAGTTTGGTCAGGTAATCCTGTTGACTACTCTATCTTAAGAGTTTTTAGATGTCCTGCATATGCTCATTCCAGTATGGGTAAATTAAACCTAAGAGCTGTCAAATGCATTTTCCGTGGTTATGCTTCTGAGTAAAAAGGGTATCGTCTATGGTCTCCTGATTCTCAGAAAATCATTCTGAGTCGAGATATCACTTTTGATGAAAATGCACTACTTTCTTCTGGAAAAGTTCCCAGTACAAGTGAGACGCAGAGTACTGGTGAGA